GACGCTCGTTACCGTAAATAGTCGATCTTGGTCTCCGAGAATCATATGACAAATCGTCACTCTCAGACTTTTCTTTTGGTTTCACGGATTCGGACGACGCTTTGCCACTTTCAGTTTCGTCTGCTAGAAACACGGGAAACGCGTGCAGTTTATGGCTATCAACTTTTGATACTGACTCCTCTGAATTATGCAACAACTCTTCGCTCTTAGGGTCTTGAACCAATTGCAAAGGCTCCAGTGACAATTCGTTAGTTAGTTTCATGAATTTAAAGGGCGGTATCTTTTCGTTAAGATCGTCTGTCAGATGCATTTGAAATGACTGCGAGTCACGGCCATCGATAGGTAATATTGGTCCTACAGGATCATGCAATGGTTCCACATTATCCGACTTAAATTTCGATCCCACGATATTGGATTCGGATGCCAGTTCGCCCTTCGTAATCGATAGTATTGGTTCCATAAAATGGAGCAATTCAAATTTCCCTGAAGGATTCTCCATGTCTTCAGCAGAAGGACTCGACACTGAGCCGTCCAGCTGCGGCGTAGTATAATTCGTGAAGTGCAAGACGCAGAGTTTTATCGATGCCTTATCTTTGTCATTATCGCCGTTATCCCAGACACCATCGTTTTCGAAATCGAAGTTTGCCCTACCTGACATTGGTGACAATTCTGAACAACGGATCAATGGTTTCATAGCATCTACAGCAAAGCCCTTCAACGAAATTAATGGTGGGGCAGACACGTCTGCGCTAGGCAGCTTCGCACTAAAACGAGACACTGATGGCGGAGCAATCGCCGTCGAAGCCATGAACGCGAACACCACAGTATGGGTTACAATAAATGAGTAGGCGTTTGCCATTACTGTCAATTAAAACCTGGACAATTACCTGCCGGCCGGCCAGTCAACGCGCTTAAAAGGGATCCCACTGGCTTTTAATGTTTCTTCTTCAAAAACTAATCGATTTTACTCACTGACACTTAGCAGTTACTTTTTGCTAATTAGTTGAACGAAGCTCATCTCGAAATACACTAACACAGAGACAAATAGTGGGTGGTTGCTAGAGGTCCGCTAAATGCCAGATGCGTCTGGTGTTTGGGAACTTCATGGCCTATGGTAGGACCATCTGTACGAAGGTATTTGAATAGGCCACGCCGTGGTGTGCTTTTTTGAATTTATAGTTTCGTGAACGTCGATCTTAACAACCATCATCCCTAAAGCCGAGTTGGCATTATTGAGATGAATGATTCTGCATTTGTCGGCCTGCTTTACCGAATTGAATACGCTCTTTTGCAGCTGTACTCAGCGTGGAATGTGAGCGATCATTTGTAGATTTAGACATAAATGCCTAAATCTTCTATAGAGGTTTCGTTACAGTTGGCCCGTCGGTGATACCAGACCCTATCTCCAATGGACCTACAAATCAAATGGCATGGACGGGATAATTTATAGCTTCGATTATAAATAAGAGCCGGATGTTTGAATAAGTAAAGGCCACGGCTTCTTTCTTCGCGATATTTTAATTAATTTATATTCAGTTTATTTATTTATCACTAACAATATCCCAGCGCATTGGGTATATGACAATGTGAACTTAGCCGTTCGAAGCGAGTTATGAAAGGATCGTCCTACCGACTGCATTCCTGCCAGAGTCGTTATTTTGAGGGATTTAAAAGTCTTCCAGTTCTTCTGCAGAATCAAAAACGTAACTTCAAAGCTTCGTCACAGAAGGGGCGTCAAAGTAGTGCGAAATCCAACCGCAATTGTTAGTGCATCCGTAACACCCCAGTGCGTATGAAGCTAGTTAGTTGGTAAATCGTTTGCCCAGAGTTAGTTAGTGCTGACAATAGCTAGCTGTGGTTTTTAAGAACGACGAAATGGGCTTACTTGTTTCGGGGCTAAACGCGCGTTAGTGAATACAGTGAAAACGTTTAAAGATCTTTGCAGCCGCAATACGCCTGCTATTACCTGTTATAACAGTTATTTTCTATCAGTATGCTGCGACGAAAACGAAGGTACCTTTAATGAGCGCTTTGGAAAGCTTGTTAGGTCATTGATGGATAGAACGAAGGCAAAAAGGAGCAAGTTATTCCATAGCAATTCTAGAAAAGAAGCCGGGCTTAAGACCTGCAACTTCTAACTAAACAATACAATTTGTTGTTGCAAACGGTTGAGCGTATCGGGAAATTAGCCTCGCCTGCGGATATTAGCGGGGTCGATCTACAATTGGACTCGTCATCTGAACCCATCCCTGCCGCATGATGCAAGAGAGCGTTGAAAATCTCAGTCATTCACCACAGAAGACTATATGGTTTATAGGCTGCTAATTAAACACCCGCCTGTTGCTCGCGATTTTTCAGATGCGAGTTTGGTTCAGGTGAAGAGACACGCAGAGGTCAGTCTCACGTTGCTGTGGCCTTATTTTCCTGGCTTTACTCAGGGACGACTTCATGTCGAAAGGAGTTAACGTCAGCAGACCACTTCGACCTGACATACTATGCGGTGCAGGCTTGCGTCTCCACCAAGTGAGGACTCAACCTTGCCAATTCGTTAAACGTACATGTCACTGAAATCTTCACACAACAGTCCATTACGACTTAAGAATGATGATGTGGTAACATCTTTTGGTCTGTATGGCCGACAGCTTTCAATGCGCTCTTTGATTTGCGTTGAAGAGACTACTCTTAAGATTTCTGCGGTCTCGATGGCTATCGTCAAACATAAATCAGAAAAAGTCCGGCCCAGCGCGCATTCCCCACAGCATTCAAAAGCGTTCCGATACAACGCCTTATATATTGACGCCCGCAAAAAAAAAGTACTTGCTGATGATCAACGATATTATGCGAAACACTTCTACACGAGAATGGCCGAACCAGAAGACTGTTAACTGGTCAGGGGGAAGCCAGCTTCATGATCCAAACAGTTTGTAGTCCTAATTAGTAAAGATTTGGACTGGTATAAATTAGGATATGAAAGAGCCACGAGCATTTTGGGCCTATTTGACTACTTTCGTAGTTTCCGCACATCCCTGGATGGCCTACATAATGGTGTAGTCGGTGACTCAACATAAGTTTCAAAAACTGTGTGCATTTTAGCATTGGTATTTGCTACGTGTAAAATTTTTAAACGATGTATTTATGGAGGTACTCTATGCAAAGGGCCCCACTTGTCCGCAAACAAACCACCGGCGTACCGGTCTACTCAACCGATAGTCTTCACTCATAGGTCACAATTGTATCTGATGATACGGTTTTATGTTGGAATAACATCCAACTTGCCAATTTCGTATAGCGGGCACGCTTTTTCTTTAAATAACGAATACGAAATGGCCGGTCAGCTGGAAACAAGGTTATCTCGAGCGCCTACGCTTACCTCTTTGACCCAGTAAGTTCCGCAAAGAAGTGTCTATCTGGTGGTTAAAAGGAGCTGGACAAGCGCCTGAATTGGACGAATTTTTCACTTGCTTTTTTTTTGCACCTTACATAAAGGAAAGACTGGTAATATCTTCACTTTTAGACAACCAAATCTCCCAATCGATTTGTCAAGCGTCGACAACACTGTTACGGACGCTTGTCAGTAGATTACATCGGCACTCCGAAACAACTGTTTCATGTGACACCATTACCATCCCAAGAAGGCTACACGTAGAAAGCAATAGATTGATATCAGCGACCTGCCAGAAATAGAACGGGATACCGAAACATTGGCCGTAATAGGACGGTATGTAGTGGTGCCGAATTACCGGAAGATTAGATGAAGTAAAACCCGTGGTTATAGCGGACTTCATTCGATTTGAGAAAGCGAGGCTACAGTGACCCCGCTGACCCACAGTTCCCAGCCAATATTCTCCATGCGTGATTATCTATAGACCTTTTAAACGGCCACAGACTCTGGCTTACAGGGTTCGGCGTCTGTCACAGCCAGTTCGCCCAGTGAGACCTAGTTCACGTCCCGACAACTAGCCAAAAAGACGTGCACACACCCCCGAAATAAAAGTATACAAAAAACGTATAAACTTGAAGGTTGAGACGCCCTAAGTACAGTCGAACCTGCACAATGCTTCGCTGGAAATATTTCATGTTTTACTTTGGTGTCTAACCGTTTACCTAAAAAAAAGCTGTCACAAAGTCGAACCAAATTCAACTGGAGGGGAATGAGGTGGTAACGCTCGGTATGACTGTTTGAAATTGTCATACGAATAAAGCCGCGTTAACATTATATAACTAACTGCTTCATTTTATTTGTCAGCAAACAAGCGCGACGTTTGGGTAAAAACTAGTACGTTTTTTGAAGGCTGGTTGCTAATTCCGAACAGAACTCCAACGGCTAAACTTTGAGGTTACCCGAAAGGTGTCAAAGACTTGTTCTCTATTCTACGAACTTGATACATTTCCTATTTCTTTAACAAGATCCCATAATCACTACGTCCACACTTCGACGCCGATTGGGTCCGAAGAAAACTACATTAGCCATTGTCTAATTTCAATTTTTCTGATTATTCTGAGATACAATAAATACAAACACTTCACCCAAGAGTCGACCATGGCGTAAGATGTCAGATTTACCAACAGCGAACAGGAAATTATTCATGACATGACCGATGCCACCATAGCTTTGGTAGTGACATCAAGTTTGAATATCGGCCTATGCGTTATAAATAACGGAACACAAATGAAGTTCTCGTTGCACTTCATGTCACAAGATGTAACTCGAAAAGACCTTTTTGTGAGCCGTTAATAGTGGCTGGGTCGGACCGCGTTTACTCGCTCTGATCCATTTATACGTAAATGACTTAACAGCTACGCTGACGAGAATTACGTCCTATAGTGAAAACCATGCTACGTAGGTTGAAAGTTTTTCCTACCGATGAGTGAAGTACGCTTGTGTGGAGAATAAATTTTTCAAACGATTGTATATACTCAACAAGAATACTATAAATCCCCTCCTGAATCAACAAAGGAAGTTCATTGATCTATAATAATATAGCAAAGAGAACACTTACAGTGGATCACAATAGTCGAGCATGATGAGACCGATTGAAATCCAGTCGATGTCAGGCGCTTGTCAACGAGGAATTATTATACAGGCGACGTCTGCAGCACCGTACTGCTAGTGGGGATCTGACAATATTTGAGCCACAATGTATTCTTTGCGTTTACTGATTTTTTAATTTGTCCCAACGCAGGGTAATATTATAAAACCAAAGTATCAGACAGCACACTGACGTGTCGCAGATCCGTTTTTCCGTAAGTTTCGCGCGAGTCCGCAGTTGTCCTCTTCCAGTTCTACTGCAGTTTATATACAGATCGTTTAACGTATTAATGGCATCGTTCACTTTCACTGAGATATAACAATAACAGCTTATTATTGAATAGTGGCCTCAACGTAATAGCAGTTGTCTGTCAGCTGTTTATTGGTGAATCCGTGAGGAGAATGTTACTGAAAGCACTGATAGATTGTACTCACCAGCCCCGTTGAAACTTCGATCTAGATAGTATTGACAATACACAGAGTTAAGTGAGAGCACGTTTTTTCTAGCTAATTTCCAGAAGATTTTGCGTGATTTCCAGATTTCACGTGAGAAGAATCAATAACCTAAGCAAATCGAAATACTTAACACTTCATTAGTGCACGCTTCTCACGCAATTGTTGTATTGCCCTTGAACTTCACTGACTGACCTCGCGATTCCACTCGTGTCCGCAGATCCGATGTTTTCCTTGTCGTGTTCAAGATACAGATGTGTATCTATGGGGCGAACTAACTAACTCCTCGTGGCAATAAACTTTCAATCAGCTTTCAGTCTAGCTTACCCAGCGTGTTTCTCCGTTTTACTTTGAATGTCCGTCCTCTTTCAGTCGCGGCGCGCGCTGACACGCTCTGCTAATGACGGAACGAACTAGAATAACAAACAGCAACAACAACAACAACAACAATAATAATAATAATAACAGTAGAATGAACTAAGCTAGCAGATGACAAAAGCTCTCAGCTTTCTAACAGCTCCAAAAACAAAAGAACACGAAGCATAGGGTCGAAACGCTGACTGCCACTCCACACAATGACCACTACTACACCTCATCTAGTAGCAATAGGGTGCCAGCGCGGTAGCTCCACTCGGACCAAGCTCCCTACCCAAATAGCCAGAAGCAAGACAGTTTCTTCTGCTGATACTAGTGCCGTATCGCTATCCAAAAAGCTCCTGCTACAGAATCCAACACACAGTGCACAGCGGTTCTGGATAGAATAGGCCAGAATATTGGATGTTCCTGTCTGTGTACGACGATGTCTACAGGAACCGGTTGGGCCTGCACACCGGGTGGCTTCCACGAGGACACTTCCAATGCAACGCGTACTATCAGCTAAGCAGCGCTGTCCCGTTGTGTTATTTCGTCTATGTCGATCCACGCCTCTGGCTGACTGGTTGGAGTGTTCGAACGGTGAAGTGCTGACCGCTATGCTATTGTCGCTTATTGTTGCTAATGTTTTGACTGCTGTTAAGGCAGCAATACTGGTCTCAGCATCAATCAACGTTTAGCAGAGACACACAAAAGCTGCTGTTTCGTTCCTACGTCAGCTTATACGTAAGCCGAGTACCGGCCGGCAGATAAAGTTTGACACGACCACTAATTTAGCCAGCCGCCTGCTAAATAGGAGTAAAGCGCGAGTTGACGGCGGCGGCGGCGGCCGCGGCGGCGGCGGTTGTGGCGACCAACGACAAACAACGAACTAACCAACCGATTGATAGATGACGGCGGTCGTCGCTTCTATATCAATTGCGGTTCGCGCTCACAGCAGCGGCAGCAGACACTCGAACAGCCACAGGCCAGACGCATTGGACAGTGGAACCCTCACGCCAATGGTGGCCGCCAACGCTGAAAGTGTGGTGCCGAAGAGAAGAAGGAGATGGAGAGCCGCGGGTCGTGCGAGAGGGAAAAAAACAGCGGTAGCTGCTGTTGCTGCTGCAAGATGATGGGAGCTTGGGTAGACAAGCAGGACGTCACTCCGGGTGAGTCGGCGGTGAATTGCTGACACTATCTTTGGTTCGTTCTGGCGGCGGCGCTCTCATGCGAGCCGCCTGGAGCAGGCGACCTAGAAAAGGGAAAGGGCAGCCGACGAGGCTGGGAGAAGGTGACGCGCAAACATACGGCACTGGATGCCTGGCTAAATAGCTGGACGATGAATTTAGTGCCCGTAAAAGCGCAGCGGGTAACATTTCTACCGAGTAAACTAAGAGACAGTCGGTGAGCTGGTCTAGGTTCGAATCCGGGCATAAACCTACAGTTCGTTTTGTGTTAGAAGAAACCGCGAGCCATCTGAAACAGTATCTTAACTCCTAAAACACCTGGCGCAATTTACGAAAAACAAGCGAAGGTTATCTCCTCGTAGATTTGAACTAATAAACTAAGGCTTGAGATCCTAGATCTTACATGCACGCACCTCAAATTGACATTTTTTTTCTATTTTCTCTATTCATACTAGTGAAAAATTAGACTGCCAAACTGATTAAATAATTTGGTCCCCACATAAAATCGGACGGAAATTCTTTCACCGTGTATAACTAGCATCAAATGAAATTTCCCAAATCGCTGTCAGTGGAGGCTTCTTAGAAAAACGCTGCAAAAGCACTCTGAGAAATCAGGACGAATTATCGTAAGGACAAGGAAAATTACTAGCAAAATACGAGTTCTATAATATTCTTGATCCTATCGACAAAGCATCAAAAAGAAATTAAAAAAATCTACATTGGTACTACAAATTAACAAACAAAATCCAAAAAGAGTTCCGTAAAACTAACGTCTCTCGCTCCAGGCAGAAAAATATTGAAAAGGAGAAGTACAGATAGTGAAAGCAAAGTAGAAAATGTGCTTCTGTTCGCAAGTAGAATATATCAGGAGCTTGGTAAAGAACAAAAACGTCTGTGTTACAAAGTAGGCTGTCTTTTTCTGCCTTTTATATGGGGTGTCTTCGAGAAATTGTATACAGTTTAAATTAGTATAATCCTATTTCTTACTTACATACGCTTCAGATTTAAATAGTAAGGAATCGATATAAAGTGAACTGTTAATTAAAAATAGCACTGCATGCTCTAAAACCTCTGTGTCCCATGTATTCGAAATACCTATATTTAGAGTCGATGACATTTATTGACAAGTAATATCGTTCTATTCGTTTGGAAACATTAGTTTTATTTAAAATGCTAAAATTAGAAAAAAAAAAATGAAAAAAAAGATTCATGCTAAATGTTGCTCTTCGATACCACACCTTTCGATTGAATGTCGATAACGTATTACAGAAATGTTCAACTTGTGCCCAGCTGTACGACTTTAATTGAACGTATGCATTGAATTTTTATGACTGGTAAACATTGGAAACTTTCGTAATAGTGACACTTTAACCCGGATCCTAATTACTCTATGAACACTCGATGGACAATCTCAGCGAGATATATCAGCGACGAGACGGCAATCCAAAGATAAAGAAAGTATGTCTTCTTTAGCACAAATAATGAACGATTTTGCCTAGACTTTCTTGTTTTTAAATTGCAAAGATCTGGTAAAGAACAATATTCTACTAAGCCTCACTGTGATTGCTAAAGAAAACAAATAAACAAATAATTAAACAGAGACCAAGGACATACTCTCGTATCTGTCATTCCTTGCTTGTAAGAACGGCTTTACAGCTTCACCGTATCGATGTTATATTAATTTTCTACCTAATTAAAAGTAGGTGTGGACTTTTGTTGTTGAGAGGTGTTGAGATCATACACTATTTACTACTGTGATATTACGGGACGTTGACCAGCGTCTTCTGACTGGGGAGCAATAACCCCAATGAAAATTATACTTATTTTTCTGACTCTGGCCATGCGTCAGTACGTGTTTTAGTGCTAATTTAACTTCAAGGGGAACAGAGGAGGGCCTGCCACACCTTTTTTCGGATTCTACAAAATGTCAAGACACTTCTTATAAACCAGACCGCTTTCTACGGTCTGATGTTTACGTCACTTATCTGTACGCGGCTGTGATACCGGGGGATTTTAAGCTGACGCACATAATGCAGGTCAAAAACTACAGAACTTTAACTCTTTTATTTTTTCAGGAAAAGTCTTCTCGCATTAAATATAACATAGAAAATTACGTTGATACCCGCAATAACCAAGTGCTATTTATTGGAAGGTGCATATTGTTTAGATTTCATTACACTTGTGGATTGAGACTAAAGTACATGTCGTAGCTAGAAAATTTATTTAAAATAGCTACAGAAATTATTACATTTAGAAGGTATTCTAGCGGCACGCTAGCGTTTGTCTAGTAACAAGATATGGGCAAAACTCGAGCTAAAACTTTTTTTTTAGCTGGCCTACATTTTGCAATACCTATCATTACTCCTACTCTTATTCTTAAACTAATTAATTAATGGATAATAATAATAATAATAATAATAATAATAACTAATCATTATTTTCTTTCTAGATCGCACCTTCTGGCGCACAAAGAAACAATATTTTAGTTTAGGGTAACATTCTAATCTGTTTGGCCCACACGTGTTTCTATACATCATTTTACTTCTTCTACACATATTTGTATAAACATTCTTTATGTTCCAAAAATTCCAGGTATGACCGTGCATATGTACGAGTACGTTTAACTAGTTGGATATTAAAATTTGATTAAGTTGAATATATAGCTTTACAAAACTTACAAATACAGCTTTCATCAAGTTTGTCATACTGTGGAACTTCACGAACAAGGTTGTAAAACTTATACATTATGAAACGTGTTACAATCTGGCGATTACTCACTTGTTTCCAGCTCCATAAATCTTAACGAATTGATCTACGCCTATCAATTCGTGTTGTTCTTTGTGTATAATGCCCTATACGTTCCGGGGAGGCTAAACGTTTTTCGCAGATTTTCCATAAATATCAGATTGGCGGTAAATAGGCAGAAGAAGCGGCTGCAAGTTCGAAAGCTGCTTTAGGGTCTATGAACATTGAGTAGAAGGGCTGATTAGAACAACTGAGTTGTGTCTCTATTTCGTCTATGAAGACCTTATATGCACTTGCTCTTCATCTACAAACACGATACACATACTTTTTATTGGGTAACGCTTTTCGGGAAAGGAATTAACTTTCGTACGAGCATGATTGATAGAAATTTCGAGACGCAACTTGCAATCCCTCTATAAGACTTCGGATCGGTGGGGTCCTGCCTATGGAAGCAACCACTATGGCGCAATCTCTCCACATTGCCGTGATACTTGCGTTAGTCATGCGCACGTAAAACAAAGCAGTCTAGCGAAATCGCTACCTCTATCGATTACTAGGCCGCGACCTTAAACACCTTGAAGTATCGTTGCATATATTCGTATAGAGGTCCTTCGAATAACAAAAGTGGTACGGTGTGATGAAAAAGAACTAGGTCAGAAAAAGCGAAATTTCTCAATGGAAGCAGGGGATCGCTGCGACTGGGTAGCGGGCTGGCGGGTGGATACCGGGGTAACTGTGGCGAAAATTTAAGGCTGATTATAACCCATCAGTGTGACGTCATCAAATTACGAAGTCATTCGAACAACCCCATAGAGCAAATAAAGCACACAAATAAATTCACTGCAACGGATAGTTTTGACTGGACAATAGATCGAACATTGAATGTAACATCAGTTAAGTAGTACAGACTAATAAGGTAACTTTAGTAAAACAATAGAACTATGGAGACATTTCCATAGGAGACTAACGTTCGTTGGGTGTTACATCAGTGAATTGGGTTAACTGAATCAATCAACAGCGAACGCCGCGCTGAATGTGGCTACAAGTCAATCTGCTATACCTGATCTCATTGCAGCCTCATAGAATGAATTAAGTTTTTCCAGGCTATACATAGTCTTATACTCAAAGGGGTTGTGGGTGAAATTACAGCCATTCTTCTTTAATACTGAGTATTGAAAATACTGCATACCGAGGGAATAATAATTTCAACCCTTTTTAAGCTACTTATTTGTCGAAGATTTGTCAAATATAAAAATGGAAAATTTCTCATTTTGGCCTTTTTATAAAGTAAGCAACGAAATGCATTGAAAAAAAAAAGTACATTTGAACATTTCGACTTCGAAAGGCTGAAGGATACTGTTTTATGTTTAAAGGGTTCAATCCGTAAAGAATACTGGACTAAATATAAAGAACGAATTAAATACAATGTGACCTAACCTAGGGAGCACGATAAAGCATCTGGAATACAGGGCGTATGTGACGGGGGAACGTTATAGCTATCGTAGGGTAAAATATTTTTTGGGCGACTAAAGTTCCAGGCTCCCGTCACATACTGAGTCAGAACGATTATGTAAAATGCGTCTGTATTTTATACATATGGATGAAGCGAATTTGTTTGGTGATATTTTAGAAACTATGCTGAAGGCAAAGTCAAATAAATACCTGCATTATTACAGCAGGATTTTTGAGGTATCTCAATGGTACAAAGGAATGACTGTAAAAATGTAAGCGATAAGTGAAGTCACGCGAGCTATCGTTTACGTTTGGCTGGGCACAACGTCAACAAATCAGATTCGTAATAAGTTAATCGAAAGAGAAGCTGGCACAAATTGGGCCGTTGTGCAGGGCTTTTGTATCCCTCCGTCAAAGTTCATTAAGTCGGGAAATAAAATTTCGATTGGATCATTCCGAGTACAACAAACTCTCAAGAAAATTACCGCTAAAAGTCAGGTCTGCGGTTGGGATACAACTTACGGACACGCGAAATGATGTCGGTTCAAGATCGGACGTCTCATTTCGTGGTCGAGTCAAGCGCTTGACACAATGTTTTTTGGCGATACCGGGCATGAAGTTCGAAACCATTCAGCGTATGTTAGATTGGGTGTGGCACGAATCTAACACCTTCTACTTAGAATAACTAACTCCAGCAGAGTGACACCATTGTACTCAATGGCAGAGTGATAGCAGTAGAAGACAAAGGCACACCCGTCAGCTGAGGTATAGTTGATATTAGCTTGTCAACGAATCGGAGTACCTAAGTAAATGGGCGATAAGGCGGACGTAGGGCGAAATCCGCAGACCAGTCTCTTGAACGGTGACATTTTTCGAGTTATTCAAGTTTCGTTTGGAATTATCGACTGACCTTGCACCGAAGTTACCTGACAGTGTGTTAACCGTAAGGCCTTCATTTCTGCTGCGTTCGAGAGTGCTTCCCTACGTTAAATAATTTTCCATTTTCGTTTATTTTTAACTGGTTAGAAAAGCGAATTTCTCATATAATACTCTTTACTATATTATTACATTATTCAGAGTCAATTATTCTGCAATGGTTTTTGCTATACTCGCGGGGAGTTGCCAGTCAATTTTTGGGATTGAATATTTCTAAGAAAAAATAAAGATTAACGATGTTATCTATGATTTCTAGCAATTTTTCGACCATTTTTATTGAGATTTTCTTGTTTAAATGATAGCATAAATATGAGTTTAAACATACCTAGAGAAACGGTTAAGAATTCATATATACGTGCTCTGCAAACTGTAGAGACACCATTACAGCAACATGACGAGTGTCCATAGATAAACACAAACAATATGAATCGTAGACACGCCTTAGAATCATGCATGATAATAACCGTCACAAATTATTCACGTTTGCAGACTACTGCTATCGCCTACTGATTGATCGATAAAAGTAGGTTCGCTGAAACCATCGTTGAAGATGAATCACCCACAAAGCACACCTGTATATCAAGCTTGATTCCCGCGCTATTTTGGAATTGCATCGGTTGCGGGTTCTTCGTTTGAAGGAACATAAATCGATCTACATTGTAGATAATCAGGCACCTTCACCCGTTCAGCGGTTAATTTATACTGGAGGCACAGCGACCTGGCGGCTATTCAGTCGGGCCACATCACGCCAAGCAAGATTCTCTGTCTTGCCAAACTTGAATTTAGGCCTATTCGGAAGCATGCATATATTTTCCAGAGAACGGTCTATCTCCATGGGTAGAAATCGGACGAAGATTTCGCCAAAACTTGTTTACTACAATACCATCAGCAGCCCATTGTCGCCAGCTCGGAGTGGATTGATTGCAACTAACGCGACCGGCGCTTTCAGGTCAAAGACTACCCAGCGCGTATGCCTAGTTGGCTTCAAGAAGCTGAGCGACTTCCATCGACTTTACGTTTGTTCTTTTCTGCGGATCGACATAACGCATCCTGCAGAATCAGAAGAGTCCCACTGGTTCTTCGTTCGGTTCTGGAGTGTGTGGATGATGGCAGTGCTTGCTTTGTACCTGGGCACAGTTCTCATGGACGAAACCCTGCGATCGCTTTCCCCTCGAGGTCAGTTCAATTTTATTATTTTTGCCCTTCTAATTTACTCGACACACATGGAAGCGTTCGTCATAGCGAACCTCATGCGCGTGTGCCGCAAAAAATGGGTCGAGATAATAGCCGACTGCGAACGCCTCGAAGAGCGAATGGTAGCGACCTCTAGCATGGCACAAAGTATGCGTTCATCAGCCCAATTCATCCTGTATATTCAATGGTTGATAATCGCGTTCAATTTTGGTATTAACATTATCAACGATTTCGGCATGGGCATGTGGAACCACTATAACATTAAGATGACCGTTCATATGCAGGCAACGTGCTATATTTTTAGCTTTATCGGTGGGCTGATGATACCAAGCAATGCCACTGTCGCTCGCGTATGGATGATGTATTTCGGCCGCTTGTTTAGAACCTATATTCAACAAATAGCTAAGGTAAGGGAATTATGGGTGATTGATCACTTTCGAGCTTCTTCTCTTGTTTGCGTACACATAAAATGGCAAAATATTCATTTGTGCTTTGACTAACGTGCCTTGTTATTTTCATTTCTCATAAAGTGACGTTATGTGGAACCGAAATGAGCGCCATGAATGAAATGCTTTTAGTAGTATAGAGATCGATGCCTTTGCTGTGCCTAAAAGACCGAAGGTTTTCCGAGTGCTTCTCGATTGCCAATGAATCGCCTTACATAGAAGGCAACCACTGTGCTTTCATGAAGGGAAAATGTATTGACTCTTTTAGTGATGCAGATAATGATTATAAAAAAAAAAATAATTAAGAAGTAATAAATAAAAAAGCCTCTAAGAGCAGAGCAACGTAATTTAAATTTCTCGGCGGCTGTTACGCGGATAATCTACGTAGACGTTGCTTCAATACTGTCCTACAAAACGATGAATAACTACAAGATTAATAATCGAATGGTCTGAAAGAACTTAAGAAAACTTTTTACGTTATGACTCACTCGAACTTCTAGTTATGATTTTAGATATAGCTTAGTGAAATAGTCTAGGGACGTAAAGCAAAGGAGACATTATAGAAAGAGCAATTTCAGAGAAATAATACTTTCTGTGTTATTATAAACTGTTGTTATTACATTCTTTTTTGATCTGAATAACGTTTAGTTGCTACGGGAAGTTCTCGATTCCAATGATACCTTAGAAGCAAAAGTGATTGCTATAGACGATCTTCGTGTCCAACTCAACCACGTTCGAGTCATTGCTGAAAAGCTCTCGAAAGTCCTGGGCGTGGGGATCTTGTTTGGCTATGGATATACCATACCGTTATTATGCATCGGGGGATATTTTGTTACCATGCCCAGCATGCGCTTCAGGGTAAGTGCTCTTGCTTGGAATAGTTGTCTAAAGCAATACTGAAAGGCAGTACCGAGCTTGAAAATACAAATGAGACTACAATAATATATCCACGATTATCTGGCCACATTTTTGTCATTACCTCATAAAATCAAAAAATAAAAAATACTGTCTAAAACTTAAAACTCTCATCATCTTTAAAACGCTTTTTAAGGTTCGAGCCTATTTTGCAGCGTTTGCATTTGCCCACATCGTGAGTATCCTCGTGCCGGTCGTAATTGTAGCGCAGCTATCTCGTGGGATTGCGGATTTGAAACGAATGATTGAGGAGGTAAAGCACGAGTAATCGTATACAGCTACGAAAGATTATATATACATATATATATATTCCATACGTATAGTGGCCTTCAGTACAGTTTACGTCGATGCTAGCTTGGCCGTAAATAATTTGTACAATTTTTTGGCATCGACCCTTTGGCCTTTTTGCCAATTTTGTATCTGAATTCAATTGCGCGCATTTTTGTCGGAAACCGTTTGTGGAAAGCAAACACGCCTTTATTCTCAATGGGGGCATTTGTATCAAGCTAAAACAGAATATTCGCCTTGGCACAGAAACGGCCCGCAACGGAAATTAAATCCTAACGTATCGATTTCTGTAAAACATCAGATGTCAGTGAGGAATGCCCCACCCTTATTGCGAACACATTTAGCTCTCTTGGACAGAGCGGTATTAACAGAGGATTTCCGGATTGATGCCCGCGGATTCTTCAAAGCAGATCTCGATATGTTCATTAACATCATGGGCGCTTCCGTCACCTATACCGTTGTCCTATCTCAAGCCCACAACCGGATGTTCGACGAACAAACCAGCGACATGAGCCTTCTGGAAGTCTAAATACGAGGCCCTAACGCTATAAACATGCTACGAGCATCGTATAAGACCTAATATAAGAACCGTATTGTAAATATGTTCATTATTTATACGTTGAATTATAAATACACTCCCATTGATAACTGTTTAGTTACTGTTAGGAGAGTTACTGAAAGCTCTTTTTGAGTTGTATGCATATCTTTATGTCGATGTAGTTTGCCAGTGTGGCATCCTAGCTGGTTGCCTTTGTTAAGAAGCGCTATTACGATCTATGGTTAGCTTACAGATGCGAACCTATTTCGAGTAAATTCAAACAGAATATTACTGAATTGTATTGTAAGAGTGATCTGTTAATGCGGAAGGGGTGAGTAGGCAGTTCTGATTAGGTTCTGAGAGGGTGGTTACTCCTCATATAACGTGCTACCATCCCGCCCACGTGCTCATGAGGGCATCGATTTCTAAAAATGGAAAAAACTGAAAAAAAATCGAGGAAACCAATTTTAGCCGATGTGGACCTCTACATACGCGATTTTCTCTGTCGGATTGTTACCTGAGCGCCAAGTTGAATTAAATGATTACTTAGTTAAATAATTACGTGCTTATTTCTTATGGTCGGTAGCTTCCAAAAGATAGCACTATTTCTCAGCGCTGAAAAATTCGTCCGAAGAAACTTCAATGCAAGTAAAGTTTCCAAAACAAGCAACTTTCTTCACAGTAAAACTTCTTAACAACAACCTTTTAGAAATTCTCGAATCGTAAAAAATGGCCGACTTGTTTCGGGTAGATACGTTCATGAACGGACAAACAGGCAGATGGGTGACCCTATTGGTATAGTAAATAGCTGTCGGAGCCTCATCAAATCAGGTTAACTAAACTATTCGACGGCGAAAAGCACGCGGAGCGAAGCCCACAGGTCGGTTCAGTATTTCTCAAGAAATTACATTTTCTATAATAATTTCCGTTACATTCACAGCTAGTTCTTGTTCAGTTTTCATAACAGGACTTTTATAAACTTGAATAAGATTTTCAACCTTTTTCAATTATTCTTGTGACGTTTTATTCTTCAAACATAAACATTTCAAAAAAGATCGCTTTCTAAAATGACTTAGCCACAGCGCTTATCTAAATAGACGTCACTGGATTCGTTTGAAGTTTTGCTCAGTTGTTGACTTCGCGTGATTCTATCATCGAAGTACATTACCATATTCCCTCCGCCTTGAACATTTTCAACAGCTTCCTACAGCCCAGCAATACATTTGTACAAAAGTTGTAGCATCTTAGCCGCACTCACTTATTTCAATAATGAGCGTTAAAATAATAATTGGATTATGCTGATTGTTTTGAGTGTTATCCTGCATAGACTTGGCTAGGCATCACTTACACCTCCTACACCTCTGAAGAATTATTATACAGGAAGGGCGTAATTCTGTGGGGTAACATTGCAGCTAGGAAGATTCTTTGTATCATTAAAACTAAATATGGTGTCATATATATATATATAT